CCGCCCTCTTAGCACCGCGGGGGTCGGGGGATTGGCGTCTAGGGAACGCCGGACCCCCTCCGCTCGCGGAGGGCGGGGGTCGGGCGTTCTCGGAACGTCGGACCCCCCCCTCCACTCATCAATGGCAGAGCATCCGGGGGTCGGGCGTTCTGAAAACGCCCGACCCCCGCCCTATTAGCATCGCGAGGGTCGGGGGTCGGGCGTTTTGGGATACGCCGGGGGTCGAGCGTTCTGCGAACGCCCGACCCCCTTTCGGATACGTCGGGGGTCGGGCGTTCTGGGAACGCCGGACCCCCTTTCAGAAACAAGGGTCGGGGTGTCGGGCATCTAGGGAACGCCGGACCCCCTTTCGGATACGTTGGGGGTCGGGCGTTCTGGGAACGCCGGACCCCCTTCCGGAAACGAGGGGTGGGGTGTCTGTTGTTTAGGGAACGCCGGACCCCCTTTCGGATACGTCGGGGGTCGGGCGTTCTGGGTATGCCGGACCTCCTTCCAGAAGAGACGAGGGTCTGGGAATTGGCCGTTTTTGAGACGCCGGACCCCCTCGGTGCGCGGAGGGTGGGGGGTCGGGGATTGGGCGTTCTTGGAACGCCGGACCACCTTTCGGATACATCGGGGGTCGGGCGTTCTGGGAACGCCGGACCCCCTTTCTGAAACGAGGGTCGGGGTGTCGGGCATCTACTGAACGTCGGACCCCTTTTGTGAAACGACGGTCGGGGGTTGGGCGTTCTGGGAACGCCGGACCCCCTTTCGGATACGTCGAGGGTCGGGCGTTCTGGGAACACCGGACCCCCTTTCAGAAATGAGGGTTGGGGTGTCTATCGTCTAGGGAACGCCGGACCCCTTTGTGAAACGACGGTCGGGGGTCGGGCGTTCTGGGTATGTCGGACCTCCTTTCAGAAACGATGGTGGGGAGACGAGGGTCTGGGAATCGGCTGTTTTGGAGATTCCGGACCCACTAGGTGCGCGGAGGGTGGGAGGTCGGGCGCTTCCAGAACGTCCGACCCCCGCGGTTGTGGAGATGGGGGTCAGCCATTTGGAGAAGGGCGGATCCACGATCCTTGACGACGCGAGTGGGGGGCCGTCGGCTCCTCGCGCGAAGTGCTTTTGTTTGTTCCTCATGTTTTCTTTGCTTGTGCGTTTCCTTTGTTAGTGCCCTCTAGGTCAACCTGCTGCTTCGACCTCTCGAGCATACGGCAGGTCAAAGATCTACAACAACAAACCATGGGCTCTGGACTGGGTTGGTGGTCTGCATAAGCCTAGGTGCGGGGCCGTCGTCTTCTTGAGCGACGACGATGGTGCGACGTGGTACTGCTGTGGGGGTGTTGAGAAATCTGAGAGCGCCAGGAATACCTACGACGGGAGGTCGTTCACGACCTTCTTTCTTACGTCAGTTTTCGACAAGGATGGGACAAATTGGGTCAAGGAAGACAAGAAGGTCGGCCTTGACTTGCGTCTCTTTCAAGGCTACGGCGTCAAGGCTTTCTCCATGAAAGCGTTTGACGTGCGAGGGGACGGCGCCGAGGTTCGCATGCTCACCGCGGAACAATTCCTCAGTAAAACGAACGGCTACCGCATCACTGGCTGCCTTCCTGTCGTCGACAGTTCCTTGGAGCTCACCAAACCGTTGGTGAAATCCAGCAGCACGGCGGACCAACTACCAGGTGTTGTTAAGGAGTACAGGGAAGCCTTCTCGAGGCTGCCTCTGGACCAGCAAGCTGACTGCGCTTTCGTGCCCTTTGTTACGAGCTCGAGGAGATCGCGACAGACGTCATCCGCACCGGTTGGGAAGAGGAAACAGTTGGTTGCTTGTCCAACTCTGCCTTTGCCAGCCGCGTCACCATCGCCCTTGCCCGCGGTGAGGGGAGGTCACGATCTCGCTCAATGTTCCAGCGAGGCTACGCAGTACGATGACAGACTTATGTGCGGACGCAATGCTGCGAGCGACAGTGTCCAGGAAGGTGCGACTGCGCTGACTGAGCGAAACGAGGATGAAGAAAATGAGGGAAGCTGCGGTGATGGGTGATGACGAGTACATGGACGTTGGGGATGAGAACATGCAGGACCAGAACATGCTTGGCGATGACGACGTCGGTGTCACGTCGGAGCATGGCCCTGGCGACATCCCCGCCGGTTCTGTGGGAGCCGCGATTGGTCGGCCCTTGTCATCTCGTGTGATATGGCATTCGCAAGGCGGGAGTAAGGGTGGGCATAACTCGCAGGAGCACGGAGGATCAAAGTCGAGGAAAAGGACAAGAGAAACTTCTCCTTCTGCTTCCGCTCACAAGAGACAATCGAGGACAGACGCTGTTAATGAGGCTCGTGGAGCTCTGATAGCATCCCAGGAGGCGAGACCTCCTCGGAAGAGCAGCCAAGGGGGGAGATCTGGCGGTCGTGGCGGCGGCCGTGGTGGAGCAAGAAAAGGKAAGCAGATAGTGAGGGCAGAAGAACTGCGGGACTCGGGGGATGAGGGCGAGGGAGTGGGCCCTCGCATGCCCGACGATGTTGATGAACCGCTTCAGCACGCTGCGCCCATCGACACGACGCGTTGTTTCTTCCTCGAGTACGACGAGCGGAGTTTTGCTAAGCAAAAAGTCCTTCCTGTTCTTGTGGACGTCATGAAAATCAAACGCATTCCCCGCGGGAATATTCTTTTCAACCACCGCTCTTTGTCTGCGAACATTGTGCGAGGTATCGAGAATGCCATCAAGAGTTCCATCACCACGGAACCGAGGGCGTGGGATAGGCCTGAGCTCGTGCTTGCGCCGGTTGACCGCAACGAAATCGTCGGCGGGCAGGGAAGGCGGATAACACCGACCGAATTCTTCGAAAAAGACTCCTCGGAGTTCGATTGGTATGCAGTCAGTGGTCAGCATACGGTCCAGGCGATGAAGACATTGGTGAAAAAGGGCTCTCCGACAGTCGACGTCTATGGCCTTCGCTCGTACTCTAAGGTGCGGGCCGTCTATTTTGGAGATGACCAGACACGAGGGTATTTTAATGTCTCCGCCTTCGACAACACACACGAAAATCGGGCCATGATGTTGTCATTCGAGGATGCTGTCCGTGATATGAGGCAATGGTGGATCGATAACCACCGAATCGAGGCCCCGAAGGGCCTCCATGGGGAAGGCATGCGACAAGGCATTCGTGAAGCAAGCGCTCGAGAATAAGTACAGTAAGGATTGGAGCAATAAACTCCGTGGCTACATGAACCTCGCCACATCCACCGAGGCTGTGTGGCCACTGGTCGAGAGGTTCTCCGAGATGTTCAACAAGGGGAAGCTGCCAGTTGGCGATGGTAAAATACCGCTTGACGTGCCGGGTAGGATGGAGGGGCGCCAGCCAGGCCCGTACACCGACGAGACGAAGGGGCAAAGGACATTATACCATTGCATTTACGCGAGAGATGGTCCCAAAGGCTCCAYCGTGTCGTGGAAGGATCTCTGTCCTTCCTACTTCAAAAATTTTGGGGATTTGACGTGCCGCGAGAGGGAAGTTGCACTGCTCCTACTCATGAAAGGGAAGGTGGTCGCAAGGAACGTCAAGGTCATGCCTCCGCGAGTGAATACGGAGTGCCTCCTCGACATCATACGCAAGGAACGCTACATGGTCCGTATGTTCAACTACGTTGTTTTCCGCGTCGAGGGAAGGGCGGACAAAGAATGGAATGATGCCTTCTTCATGTTATACAAGGACCTCGAAGACAGGTATGGGCCGAACGGTCTGTGCGCAGCTGAATGGGAGAAGGAACGGGACAAGCTGCATGTCAGCAAAGTGAAGACGGTCCCTCGACGGCTTGGAGGGGTGGAGGAGGCAAGGCAAGGATCAGGCTTGGGCCCTACGGCGGCAATGTATAAGGAGGCTCCGTTCCACTTTAAGGTGTTTGTATACACCTCAATCGATAAGCTCGATCTGCTTCGAGCAGAGGTCAAACGGGTCGCCTCCAGCGCACGTCATATCGTGTGGGATAAACTTAAAAAACAAACAACACTGCTACCGGTGTGCATGCCATTGAAGGAAGTGTTGGCTGCGCCAGACGACATCGTCGCTGCGGCGCAAAAAATGACGTGCAGGGCCGTCATCCTTGACATTTCCCCCGCCAACTTCTACACGTCATGGACCTCTCAAGAGTTCGACGCTCTGCACTCTATGATGACTAAGTGTTGTGGCGTTAATTGGGTTCTTTTTGTCTTCGCACCGCAGAAGGTGCAAAGTGATGTTCTGTGATGCTTATTCCGGTGGGAGGACATCGAACTCATCGTCGGGACCTGGAAAAGGGTGGACAGGCCATCGAATGACATCACGAAGTACGGCAATATCGTTACGGCGAGTCGAGACATGATGGTCATTGTCCTGCACGCGGAGGGAGGGGATCTCAGAAAGGTCACGGTCGCACCCCACCTTAGCAATGACCTCACAAACGTGCATGTTGTGGAGGAGAAGTTCGGGAAGTGTCTGGAGAAACACGGTGGCATAAAGGGTGATGAAAGTGTGGTGTATTCCATATGGGAGCGAGAGCCTGGCAAGTTGCGTTCATTGTGCGGGTCGTTCGTCGGGGAGGCGGAAGGTGTGCTTTTATTGGGTAGGGCGCACGCGGGTCTTGTGTGGGAATTCTTACTGGCAGGGAATAATGTCATTGCCTGTGACGAGTCGGTGAAGGACATTGCATATTTGACAACGTTCATCGATATACTTGTCAAGGACGACAGATTCAACTGCCACGTCGAGAAACCGCGTTACAAACATCGCCCGAATAGGGATATGTTCCACAAGTTGGGGCGTAAGAGACTGAAGGTGTGGGAGTACCTGTTCCGCGATATGCGAGGACGGCTTGACGGGAAATATATATACAGGAAAGCAAAGGCAACAGAGACCCTCAAAAATTATCACGGTGTTCTCACTGGCGCCTTTGAGACTTTTGTTGCTCGATGCGAGATCCTCAAGTTCGATCTTCGCAAAGACCAATTGACGTCCAAGGACTACGCGGAGCTCGCGAAATCAGGCGATGGCTTTAACCCCGTCAACAGCGAGGAAGATTCTTCGGACTCCGACCTCGAACTGGGCGAGGACACATGTGCTGAGGTTCCGCGCGTTGGATTGGTGCAAGCTCACGATGACAGAACTGTCCATTCGCATGGAGGGTCCATCCCGATGGCCGCCCCAAGCGTCGCCTCAATGGTGGCCCCGTCAGAGACTGCTGCATTGCAAGACATAGGAAGATGTGGTGGCAATGAAGAAGACGACATTGAGATACCAGGCGAGGCGTCGACGCTCGCACCAGGCAATGCAATTCCTCCAGGCTACTATGCTGACCCGGACACGATATATTTCTTGGAGGGCAAACACACCCACACAGGCGAGGATCAGTGGGGCCATGACATCATATGGCATGAGGGCGTTTTACAGCCGTGCATCCAAGATGGGGAGTGAAAGATGGCGGTGAAATACACAAGCGGTTGGAAGACTTTTCGCCGGATGTCAAAGGACATCTAGTTGAAAACGACGGAACTCGCGATCCTGCATAGCGTGCGCGTCGAGAATCCAGGGCAGAGCGAGGCCGCCATCAAAGCCGAGGCCGAAGAATTGTTTCATGTCTTGTGCGACAATCGGCAACTGGAGTACAGCAACAAATTTTATGCCCTGCGCTCGAGGATGTAATTATAAGTGACATGGATTTGATTATTGATCCTCTCCATATCGCACACCAGGACCACTGGACCTTGGTTGTGGTTGACTTGAGGAGGAGGAAATTTGAATTCTACGACCCCCTCGACCCCGACAAGGAGTTCGCGTTAAAAGTGACCGGCGGGTTTGCAAAGTTTTTATTCGAAAGATCGAAATCGCAAGGCAAAGACGTGGACACGAGACAATTCAATCACATATGGAATGTAGAGGGCATTCCAAAGCAACATGACACGAACAAATGTGGGGTCTTTGTACTCACGTACGCGTCACTTTTGGCACGGGGCCAACTTCCGCCTTTCTGTTTCACCGCAGATGACATACCCGCGATACGTCGTCGGATGGCATTGGACACAGTGGCTCGTGAGTAGTGTGTACGTGATATTATACAGTATGATTGCGAAGGGGGCGGACATGGTTGGCACGAGATGGCGCTTGACAAAAAACAATGTATATAAGGTGTTAATTATTCTTCGGTGCACTGTGTCACTTGCCCCTTGCATGGTACCTTACACCTTACACCTTACCCCATACACCTTACACCTTACCCCCCTACACCTCACACCTTACCCCTTACACCTTACCCATTACACCTTACCCTTTGCACCATACCCCTTATACCTTACCACTTATACCTTACTCCTTACCCCTCACACCAAAACACCCATTTGTAATGGTTTTTGCACTTCAATCATCTCAAAAATGACAATTTCAATTTCGTTCAAAAAATATAAAATGTCCGTTTTGACGAAATCGTTGTTGGTGGTAATGTGCTCTTGGTGACTCGGTGGGTAGGTGCTTGGAGTGGCTTGGTGGGTAGGTGCTTGGAGTGGCTTGGCGGTAGGTGCTTGGAGTGGTTTGGTCCGTAGGTGCTTGGAGTGGCTCGGTCAATAGGTGCTTGAGGAGGCTTAAGGTGCTTGGAGTGACTCGGTCGGTACGTCTTCAGAGTTGCTCGGTCGATAGGTTCTTGGAGTAGCCTAGTCGGTAGGTGTTTGGAGTGGCTGGACGGGTAGGTGTTTGGAGTGGCTTGGTCGGTAGGTGTTTGGACTGCCTCGGTGGGAAGGTGTTCGGAATGGCTCGGTTGATGGGTGCATGGAGTAGCTTGGTGGGTAGTGGTTCTTGGAGTGGCTTGGTCGTTAGGTCCCTCGAGTAGCTCGTTCAATAGGTGCTTGAAGTGGCTCAGTGGCTAGGTGCTTAGAGTGGCTCAGTGGGTACGTGCTTGGAGTTGCTCAGGCGGTATGTGCTTGGAGTGGCTCGGTGGGTAGGTGCTTGGAGTGGCACGATGGGTAGGTGCTTGGAGTGGCTCAGTCACCTTAGTGGGTAGGTTCTTGGAGTGGCTCAGTGGGAAGGAGGTTGGAGCGGCTCGGTCGGTAGGTGGTTGGAGCAGCGCGGTCAGAAGGTGCTAAGAGAGGCTCGGTCGGTAGGTGCTTCGAGTCGCTCGGTCGGTAGGTTATTCGAGACGCTCGGTCGGTAGGTGCTTGGACTCGTTCGATCGGTAGATGCTTCGAGTGACTCGGTCGGTAGGTTTTTGGCATGAATCGGTGGGTAGGTGCTTGGAGTGGCTTGGTCTGTAGGTGCATGGAGCGACTCAATCGCTAGGTGTTGGAGTGGTTCAGTCGCTAGTTGTTTGGAATGCCTCAGTAAGTAGGTGCTTGGAATGCCTTGGTCGGTATTTGTGCTTGGAATGCCTCGGTCGGTATATGTGCTTGGAGTGTCTTGGTCAATATAGGTGCTTGGACTCCTCGGTCGGTAGGTGCTTGGAATGGCTCGGTGGATAGGTGCTTGGAGTAGCTCGGTTGGTAGGTGGTTGCAGTGGCTCGGTCGGTATAGGTGCTTGAAGTGGCTCGATCGGTATAGGTGGTTGGAGTGGCTCAAACGGTATAGGTGCTTGGAAAGGCTCGATCTGTATAGGTCCTTGGAGTAGCTCGGTCGGTAGGTGCTTGGAGTCGCTTGGTCGGAAGGTGTTTGGAGTGGCTCGACCCGTAGGCGCTTGGAGTGGCTCTGTCGATAGGTGCTTGGAGTCGCTCGGTGGGTAGAAGTTCTTGGAGTGGCTTGGTCTGAAGGTGCCTGGAATGGCTCGATTTGTAGGTGCTTGGAGTGGCTCGGTCGGTAGGTGTTTGGAGTGGCTCGGTGGGCAGTTGCTTGGAGTGGCTCGGTGTGTAGGTGCTTGGAGTGGCTCGGTGTGGAG